CAGCTGGTATAGTGGTTACCTTTAGGGTAGGGGGAGTATTGGCCAGAAATATCCTGTATCTTCTAGCTTATGGTTATATGGATGTATAAATATTTGCTAAACTTTGTATTTAGAATTTGTGTACTTTTCAATATGAAATGTCATTTTAAAAACTTGCTTAATTAAGAGTGAGTACAAATAAGCTGCAATCACTATGTTCCACTCCAGTGCTTTTGGGTGTAAATTAAGGGCATTTTAAAAATGATTAAGCAATAATTTCCCTGCATGCAAGGATCTATCTGCAAAGGTGTGAGTTTTATTCCTGATGTTTTCCCAACAAGTTATTTCTGGGGACCTGTGATGAATGATGACGTGTTTTGAACCTGTCCGCCTGCTGCGTGGCTACCTGTGCCTGCCTACTGTTTGATCGAGAGGAACAGGAGGGCACTGCGTGTTGCCTTTGGGGTGTTTTATAACTTGCTTCTGTAAACTCAATGCTCCCCCCATCTCCCAGTTGAACAAATCTGCTACCTGGCAGTCTCCTCAAAGCACAAGGAAGGTGCACCCAAATGGTCCAGCTCACATACCCTTCATGGTCACTGCAACATGCTCTATAGGGTCAGTAGTTCAGTGCTAGCTAATTCCCAGCAGCATTACAGCCTTCTCCCTCTCCTGGGAGAGGTTGCTGAAAGACAAAGGGTATCTCGGTCTGCAGTGTCTGTGCTCAATTTTCTCTGAGTACAAAGTGTGAGTTTTTCCCTTTTATTTGTGTTTCCAAAGGGTTCATCTTGATGACTTTCCCAAAACAGAGGGAACTACTCTAATCCACAAATATTTGTTCTTCACCTAACGATATATAAATAAAGAAGGAAGAAGGGAGAGTAGGAAGAAGAAAGGAAAGAATGAGAGAAATAAAGTAAAGCAAGTTCCTCTTCACTGGGCTCCCACCTCAGATTAATTTTTCTTCAGTTCTAATTTCATGGATTAGATAAACAATCTGTGGGAAATATTTTTTTCTTCAAGTTCAAGAAACAGTTATAGATTTCAAAATATTCTAACAACCCTCAGCCTAGCACTGTACCTATTTTAAACCAAAGCAGCAAAAATCATGGGAAGCTGAGAAATTGGTTATAAATCCTGGGTTGTAGTAGCTTGATTTGTGCATCAGAATGTGCGACCAACAGATAGGGAACATAAAGGATAACAGTATTTCAGCCCTGGTCGGTGTGTGGCTCAGTATATTGAATGTCAGCCTGTGAACCAAGGGGTCGCTGGTTCAATACCCAGTCACAGCACATGCCTGGGTTGTAGGCCTGGTCCCCAATTGGGGGCACGTGAGAGGGGACTGATTGCTGTATCTCTTGAACATTGATGTTTCTGTCCCTCTTTCTCCCTCCCTCCCATCCCCTCTCTCTAAAATAAAATCTTAAAAAAAGATAACAGTATTTCTAAAATCACAGCCATGAGGAGACTCAGCCATGGTCTGAGACTCTGAGTGGTTTCAGCTTGCTTGGTGGAGGAGCAAAATTGCAGAGTTTCAAGTGACAGGCCAGCCCAGTCAAGGTGCAGTGGGGGTGAGCTCATGCCGTCGGGTGCACAGTGCACGTGGCATGCTGTGTCTCCCGAGACAGGATGCCTCATGGTGGGTGGGTGGGGCCAGCCCTCACCAGATGAAATGCTGATGTCAGTTAAGATGGCCCAATTAGCCTCGATTGCAGCATGCACCCAGGTGCTGTGGCTTAAAATAAAGTAGCAAGTGTTGAAATGTGTCCCTAAATACATAGGTTTTTATTAAAGAAAAATATTTTTATTTAAAAACCACCATTTCTTAGTTAAAATGTGGCTTGTGGCATCCTGATGCCTGGGTTCACATCTCAGCCCCATCGCCCTGTGACCTGGAGGAAGTTATCAGTCTCCTGTGCACCTCGGTCTCACCTGTGTGTGACTGTGTGGTTACAGACATCAGCCTGTAGCAGCCTTTGTCAGCCTGTAGCAAGCTTTGTCCGATGTTCATTATTTACTTATTTTATTTGAGGAGGGTGTGAATGTAAGTTTTTGGTTCATTGGTTTCAGAGATAACTGATTTGTTAGCCCACATATGCAGTCATACCTGTGCGAATGTGTACGTATGTTCACCCCTCTGCACCCGAGTGACGGGCGCATGGGTATTTGAGTGTGCAAGTATGTGAGTGTATGCATATATGTGCCTGTATCGGTGGGTATATCCTGAGGCTGCTCTAAATTACCAGAAACTTGATGGCTTAAAAACCACAAATTTATTCTCTCCCAGCAAATTGGCACAACTGGGCTGAACTCAAGGTGCAGGCTGAGCCACAGTTTCTCTGGAGGTTCTAGGGGGACCTGACTCTTGTCCCTTCCAGTCTCTGCTGGCTGCTGGCATCTCGTGACTGTGCACACTCCATTCTCTGCCAGTCCTCACCTATAGCTTCTCCTCTGTGTGTTATGTGCATGTGTGTGAAGGGTGTGTGGGCACGTGAGTGTATTTGTAATACATGTATGTGCATGGTGTGTGCATGCATATGTGTGAGTATGTGATGGGTATGCATATACTGAATATATATATATATACATTTACCCATTATGTGTGGGGGGTATTTTTATGGAAAGTAGGCTATCCAGCTAACCTTTGCTTAAAATATTTTATTAACATTCTGAAATATGACTTAGTTGGAAGTCTGTACTAATGAATCTGTGCTCTTAACAGATGGTGAAATAAACACAATGTTTCTACCTTCCCAGAAATCTTCTTAAGCTTAAAATTGTTGTCATTTGTGAGAAAAGAGCAACCTTGTTTAAATGCTAGCAAACAAGCAAGCGCATGCCCTCTTACCTCTGTCTGAACCTCAGAAAGAGGACCCAAGTGGGAATTCAGCCTAATGAAAAACGCATTAGGGATGGTACCGAAGGCTCGGAGGGTCTATTACTCATTTTAATCTCAGCCAACCAGGTAAACAGGCACCGGCCCGTGAGCCCTGGCTCGAAAGAAGGCTTGATAAAAGCCAGGTAGTGGTCCCAAATGAGGGGTTTTCAAGTTTCTTTTTTTTCTGCATTTTATTTACTAAGGTTTTCTTTTTTCTTTAGAAGGAGAAGATGGTGGGGTTGGGGAGAGAGAGAAACATTGATTTGTTGTTCCACTTACTTACACATTCATTGGTTGATTCTTGTGTGTTCCCTGACTGGGGTCGAACCCACAACCTGGGTGTATCAGGATGACACTGTAACCAACCGAGCTACCTGGCCAGGGCCTCTTTTTGCATTTTGAAACCTGTTTGTGAAATCACATTTGGGTTTGATGAAGACCAGATGGTGCTACAATTTGCTATTTGGTATAAAGAAGGGACTAGGAAAGATAGAGCCACGGTGGGTTAACTGCACCAGTGCAACTTCTTCAAAGCTTAATATGTATTACAAATGTAAAATACTATGTATATTCTATTTTATTACATACTTATGCATGCCTTTAACGATTATTTTAAACATCTATGTGTGCTATAAAAATAAAGCTCATTCAGTTGTGAGTGGGACACTATGCTAGCTACAAGTATGGCGTCCAAGTTAAACCATTTATAATTTCTAGTGAGAAGATTCAGTAAGATAAACATAGGCAGGGTGAGTGTGACAAAATCTTAGTTCTATAGGGCTCCTGCAACAAAATACCACAGACTGGATGGCTTATAAATGACATAACTGTCTCATAGTTCCGGAGGCTAGAAGTCCAAGATCAAGGTGCTGGCAGATTGGATGTCTGCTGAGAGCTCACTTCCCGTTTCATAGGCAGCTAACTTTTGGCTGCTGAGAGATGAGGGAACTCTCAGGTCTCTTCTCTAAGGGCACTAATCCCATTCATTACGGCTCTGCCCTTGTGACCTAATCACCCCCGGAGGCCCCAAGTTCGTACAGCACTGCACTGGAGATTGGGTTGCAGTAAATGAGTTCTGAGGGGCACACATGTTCCATCTCGAGCAAGTGCTCAGAAGGCTATTCAGAAGAGGGAGAGGACCTATGGTAAGGGGAGCTGGGATGCATTCGTGTAGCAGGTATCAACAAGGCCTTGCTATACAACAGAAATCAATTGATTGAGCTGACTATTGAGAAGATAAGTACGAGCTGGAGGAAACGGTATAAAGACAGGAAAATGCGGGGCATATTGGAATAGCATAGAATCCCATCTTTCTGGAGCATAGGCTCCCTCTTTAAAGAGGGTTTCTTGGCTTCTGTAGTACCGAGTTGGTTTTGTTTTTGTGTTTTTGAGTTTGGATACCATTCTTTGCGATGCAGGGGGCTGTCCTGTACATTGCTGGGTATGTAGCAGTATCCCTGACCTCTACTCACCAGACACCAGCAGCATCCTGGCTTCCACCCCCAAATTCTGCCCATGTTGCAATAAACACAGGTATCTCCAGGCATTACCAAGTGTCTCTAGGGGGCAGTATGGCCCCAAGTTGAGAATCATTGTTCTAGGAACTTCCCACCCCAAGGACCAAGTAGCATCACCTGGGAACTTGCTAAAAATGCAGAACCTCAGACCCACTGACAGTCTGCATTTTAACAATTTCCCTGAGTGATTCATACACACGTTAAAGTCTGGGAACAACTGCTTCCTTGAGAAACAGAAGCATTAGGCAGTGAGATTGGTTAGAGGTGGGCATGGATGATGGTGGAAAGGCTTAAACATCTTGCTATATATAATATTAGATTTAACTTGGTAGTCAACGAGGCTATACTGAATATTTTCTTTTTAACAGATTTGTTTTAGATATAAAATACACTGGCAGCCTTGTTATGCCTACTTAACATTCTTCTCACCTTTTTTTACTACTTCTATCTCAGTTTTAGAGGGAATAATGAATGGCAACTAAAAAAAAACTGTATTTTTCAGTATCCTTTATAGGTGGGGGAGCTATGATGCTATATTTCAAGCAGACATTATCTGGGGGGAGGGTGGTTATAGGAAAACTTCAGAAGGAGAATGATTCAAATGGCATGTCTTTTTTCCTTAGGTCTTTCTCCTCCTTTCCTGGGAATGAAGAAAATATTTCACATTTCAGCAGCCACCTTACAGTCTAAGAGGAGGCACTCCCTAAAGACGGTGGAACACAAAGCCAGAAGAAATGTGAGTCAGAGAGAGAAAATATGCCCCAATATTGTTTAATACACTAGTTTTCAGAGGTCTATTACTCATCTGAATTCAATTCCTAACTGTTGAAAATTGCAGTTGATATGATGGATGAATTGGGGGAAATGAGATCCATGCAGAATCTATTGAAATAGTCTGGATGGGACTGGGAGAAGGGAAATGAAAATGAAGAATTTAGGCTCTGATTTTGGGGGGAGGTATGATTATTTTTAAGTCTGTCCCTGGAAAGTGGTGGTGTCATTTATGAACATTTGAAAGTCAGGACAAGGACAGGATAATGCTGTGAGTTTGACTTTGGACATTTCTCCCTTGAGAATTAATAAGACAGTTGTGTTTATCCATCAGGCAGAGGAGCCTCAGGAGAGAAGTCGTCTGTGGAATGTAAGGCTATTGAATGGAGATGATTGTACTTGAACAAGAATGAATGAATGAATAAATACAAGGAAGCTGGTAAGTGGAAGCTGGGCAGGAGTGGGATCGGCAGGATGAAGGGAGGAGGTGGAGGGGTGATCGTGGATATGCTACTGAATGGAAGAGAACCGTGAAGGAGAACAGCAGTTGTTAAGGGATTTCTGCTAAATGGCTTCCACAGAAGGGGTTTTTACGATGCTGTTTAAAGACCTCGGAGGACCCAGAGCTATTTCATAAGAAAGACAACTTGCTCAAGGAGCACGTCCTCCCTTGCCGTGACCTCCTGCATCAGTGAGTTCAAGTGTTGGTTCACTCTCTGTGACTGGGCTGAGTAACTGAATCATGCCCAATCTTTCCCAGACTCTTCCAAGTCTGCCACAACTCTTTAGAAATCTCCTATAGCTAATACCATCATGGAAACTATCAATCCACATCATCTCTGACATGGTCAAGATTATGGCCTTCCTAACATATTTCTTTTCTTTTTTTTCCTACCCAATATATTTGCATTCCCAGGTAAATTAATTACACAAAAGGTGGTTTGTTAAGTAGCTACAGATAGAGGTCATAAGCTAGGTGTTTTCAGGACTGCAAAGATGATAAAGCTCTAGCTCTCAGCATACCCTCGGGATGGAAATCAGGCCACTGTTATAGGCACCCCAGTAGGATGTATCTCAGGCTGCTCAGGTTCTGAGAACTGAAGGCCCAGGGGTCTAAGGGTAGGACTCTCCTCTTGTCCAAAATGCACAAGCTCTGGGGTCCCAGTTCTGCTTCTTTGGGGAACACTGTCACAGCCCTCACTTTTCTCTTGTTGCACATCCCTCCTCTGCATATACAGACTGTCAAGTTTCATCCATTTTTGCCCATTCTTAAAAAAAGAAGTCACCAGGATGGCACTGTGAGAAGACTTCCAGGCCTCTCCCTGTGATTTTACAACAAGCTGGGCAACTATAATTCAACGAAAGCTTCCCTGCTCAACACACAAACACATCTGAGAGATCTGCGCATTGAGACATCTGGAGGTGCGAGCATCTGACATTGTAGCAGTACAGGACTGGGGTGCAATCTGCATGGGGCAGACAGGAGGGCCAGAGGCAGCAGTCCAGCCTGCATGGCCAGTGGGGGCTGAGCCACAGATACATCAACCTGCTTCCCCCGGCCTACCAAGGTAGAGTCTCGTAGAGGCAGCTGTGACACCCCAGCCAGGAGGGTGTGAGTGGTGGCTTCTGGGTCCAGGAAAGTGACACTGGGGATGCACAGCCAGGAACCCAATTGCCCACCACATCCCACCTTGGATGTGCCCTGAAACCTAGGCAAATGCGTTGTTAAGAAGGCCCCTACCTCCTCGGGGAACAAGGGGCACTTTCCACAGCTGAGGTGACACCACCCCACAATAATGCCCAGTCCTAATAATGCAGGTAAGGGAAAACAAAACTTGCACTATAGCACCACCTACTGGACAACAAAAGAAAACTCCTCTATTAAAACAGTCAAAAGAAAGTACTTTAAATAAAAAATTTTTTTCATTTCTTTAAACACCAAGAGAAGTAATCCATTGAATACCATGAATAACTGAGGCAAAAGGTAGTTAGGAAAGGAAATTAAAATCTCCAGAAAATAAACATAAAAATATGGAACTCAGTGATTTCAAAATAATAGTTCCAAAAAAATTCAACAAAGTATCAAGAAAAATAAAAAAGGCAGTTTAACGAGCTTAGAAATAAAATCAACAAACAAGAATATGCACTTTATCAAATAGATTGAAACTATAAAAAAGAACCAAACAGAAATACTGTAGCTGAAGAACTCACTAAGTGAAGTAAAGAATTAATTAGACCGGATGAAAGAATGAATTAGTGATCTTGAAGACAGAAATACAGGAATGACTCAAGTGGAAGAAGAGAAAGAGCTGAGTTTTAAAAAAAGGAAAGAATTCCATGAGAACGGTCTGACCCCATTAGAAACATATGAATACTGAGTGTGTCAGAAGGACAGGACAGGCGGAAGGGAACAAGTAGCCTACCAAACAGATAATCAACCAGAACTTCCCAAACCTGAGGAAGGAACTGGATGCTGAAATTCAAGGAGCTAACAGAACGCCTAAATATCTTAGGCAAGAAGACCACGTCCAAGGACTTTATAATAAAACTATAAAAGGTTAATGACAAAGCAAGAATTCTCAAATCAGCCAGGGAACAGAAGACAGAAACCTATAAAGACACTCCCATTAGATCATCATTGGATTTTTAAGCAGGAACCCTACAAAGTACGAGAGATTGAAACCAGATACTGAAAGAGAAATCACTAGCCAAGTATAGTATGTCCAACGAAATTATCCTTTAGATACAAAGGAGAAATAAGGACTTTTCTAGACAAACAGAAACTGAGGGAATTTACCACCCCAAGACCTGCATTATGAGAAGTGCTGAAAGGAGTTTTCGACATGGAACAGAAAGACCAAGAATACAAAGCTGGGAAGAAGATGACGAGAAAAGAGCCAGGAGCAGGAAACGGCAACTCTTGCTCAGAATAAGATGTTAAACACTTAATTATAACATAAAAATTAGAGGGGTCAAAATATATATTTTTTGGAAATGAATGCACAGCATAAAAAGAAATAATTTGTGACAACAAAATCATAAAAGGGAGAGGGTAAAGGTCTGAATTTGCACAGGTAAGTGGACATAAGATACAAGGCCTATTGTATATATGAAAACTTTTTCGCATAAACATAATGGTAATCACAAAACAAAAATCTAAAACTAAGAATCACAACATAAACAGAAAGGTAATGGAGGAAAAATCATAGAATACCAACAAACTCAAACAGAAGGGAAAGAAACAATGGAGACACAGAGCAACCAAAAAACAAAAGGTAAAATGGCTATAGGAAGTCATCGGACATCAATAATCACCCTAAATGTCAATGGTCTGAACTCACCAATATAAAGACACACAGCAGCGGATTTAATCAATAAGCAAAACCCAACCACATGCTGCCTTCAGAAGGAGACACGTCTCAGCCTCAAGCACAGACAGACATGAAGTGAAGGGTAGGAATGATTTGCCAACCAAATAGCATCCAAGAAAAGCAGGTATAGCTGTATTTATATCAGAAAAAAATAGATTTCAAGATACAAAATGTAACAGAGACAAAAAATGGACAATACATCAAGAAGACTAATATTACTTACCAATATATTTGAACCTAATCTGAATGACCAAAATATATAAAACTACTAAAGAGAGAAACAGACAAAAATACAAGAATAGTAGGTGTCTCAAATACCCTATTGACAGCAATGAATAAATCATCCAAAAAGAAAATCAACAAGGAAGTATCAGCCTTAACTGACGAATTAGCTCAGATGGATGTAATCTGTATTTACAGAGCTCTTTACCCAGAACACCAGATACACATTCTTCTCTAGTGCACATGGAACATTATTAAAACAGACCAACTATTGGGGCACAAAACTAGTTTCAACAAATTTAAGAAGTCTGAAATCATACCAAGCACATTCTCTGACCAGAATAGTTTGAAACTGTAAATCAAAGAGAATGCTGGTAAATCTACAAATATGTGGATATTAAACATGCTATACTGGGTCAGAGAGGAAATAATAGAACAGATAGATACATAGAAACAAGTAAAAATGATGCTACAATGTTTCAAAATTGGGGGGATGCAGCAAAAGCAGTACTAAGAGGAAGTATATATACCATTTGAGGCCTACCTCAAGAAATAAGAGAAATCTCAAATATAGTGACAGTTCTATATATCTCTCCACTAAAAGACTATTGGAAACAAAAAAATACAAAAAACAAGAGGGTTGCAAAACACAAAATCAATATATAAAAATCTGTTGCATTCCTATATATTTAACAATGAAATTTCAATTGCAGCAAAAAGGAGAAGATACCTAGGAATAAAATTAACAAAGGAAGTGAAAATCTATACATGTTATTGAAGGTAATTGAGAAGGAAACAAAGACGTGGAAAAATATTCTGTGTTTGTGGATTGAAGAATCAGTGTAGTTACAGTGGCCATCACTACCTAAAGTAGTACACAGATTGAATGCAATCTCCATTAAAACCCCAATTTTTCAAATAGAATTAAAAATTATCAAAACACAAAAAATCATGAAAGCCAAAGCAATCCTGAGAAAAAATAAAAAAGTTGGTAGTATCCCACTACCTGATTTCAAATTATACTACATGACAATAATCAAAATAGTATGGTACCAGCAGAAAAAAAAAAGACATACAGACTAATGAAATAGAACTGAGATCCCAGAAATAAATTATTTTTGACGAAGGAGCCAAAAGATACAGTGGAGAAAGAAAAGCTGCTTTGGTACATGGTGTTGGGAAAACTGGAAAACTACATGCAAAAGAATGAAACTAGAGTACTATTTAAAACCATATACAGAAATTTACTCAAAATGGATTAAATACATAAGTATAAAAACCTGAGACAATAAAATACATGAAAAAAAACATAGGTGCTGAAGTTATGGACCTTTGTCTCAAAAAGGCTTTTGTGAAATTGACCCCAAATGCAAGTGATGTAGAAGCAAAAATAAATGAATTGAGACTGTATCAAACTATTCAGTTTCTGCACAGCAAAGAAACATCAACAAATCCAAAAGGCAAGCAAGCTAGTGAAAGAAGATGTTTACAGACAACACATCTGCTAAAGGTCTAATATCCAAAATATATAAAGAACTTGTGCAACTCAACAGTAAAAAAATACAATTAAAAATGGACAGAGGACCCGAACAGACACTTTTCCCCAGAAGGCATACTGGTGGCCAACAGATGTATGAAAAGATGTGCAAGCTCACTAGCTATAAGAGAAATGGAAACTAAATCATAATGAGATACCACCACAGCAGTTAGAATGGGTTTCATCAATAAGACAAGAACTAACAAGGGTTGGAGAGCCTGTGGAGGAAATGGACCCCTCACATGCTGCTGGTGGGAACAGAAATTGGTACAGCCACTATGAACACAGTACAACGATTCCTCAAGAAGTTAAGAATAGAGAGACCACACGACCCAGCAACCCTTCTGCTGGGTATCTACCCGAAACAATGGAAGACACTGTTTTGAAAAGATGTATGTACCACTGTATTCACTGCAGCATTATTGGTGGTGGTGTAGCCATGGAAACAACTTCAGTGTCCTTCAGCTGATAATTAAATACAGAAGATGTGGTGCACATTTACAATAAATTACTACTCGGCCATAAAAAGGATGAAATACCACCATCTGCAACAACATGGGTGAGTCTTGAGAGTATCATGCTAGGCAAAATAAGTCAGACAAGAACCATATTATGTTATTCACATGTGGAATATAAAACAAAGCAACGAACAAACTGGGAGACACAGACAACAGGAGAGTGGCTAGCAGAGGGGAAGGGGGGGGGCTTGAAAGTGGTAACAAGGTCAAATACATGGTGACAGAGGTAGACTAGACTCTGGGTGCCGAGCACACAATACAATGCACAGGTGATGTGTCAGAGAAGTGTACACTTGAAACTCACGTAATGTTATCGACCAAGGTCATCCTAACATATCTTTTTAAATTCCCATTATAGCCACTATTTCTTACTTCATGTTCACAATCCCTTATCTACAATTGTGAAATCCTAAAGCTCTGAAAACCAGAAGTGTGTGTGTGTGTGTGTGTGTGTATAAAATTGAGCTAAAGTGGCCCTGAACTGTATAGTCTTTACTCATCCCTAGACCATTCATTTTTTGTTTGTTAAAGAAATATTCATGTTTGGCTAATGATTGCAGCCTTGTACCTCACCATGAAAAACAGAATTACCGCCTTTTAAAAATTTGAAAACTTCTGAGCTCCAAAACGTGTCTGCTCTCAAGAGATTTGGATGAGGAGAGGCGGGCCTGCAGAATGCTGAGTCCTACCCGATGCAGAGAAGATGAGAATGGGAGGGTATAATGCTGCGGAAAATAGACACCGCACCATCACCATCTCCAAGGATGCTGTGTGTTAACTGGAAAACCATGAGAATCAACTGAAAGGCAATTAGGCGTAAGTAAGGTGACCAAACCCAAAGGCACAAGTGGAAAATCGAGCCTTCTACTGGATTCTGGCACTTGTAAGGAGCCCCTCCTCATTCCTTAGTTCTAATGACCAAGATCAAATGGCCTGACCTTGTCCCCTAAATTTAGTAGCTGAGTTCTTGCCTAAACTCGTGCTCAACCTCCCACTTTGCCTTCCAGCTTCTCCAAGACTCCTGGGTACAGCAGGTCTGACTCCGGACAGCAGCCTGGTGATGGAGGAGCCGTGGCCTCTCTGCAGACTCTTTGGTCCAGCCCGCCGACCTGATCCTGTTCTCCTGGCTGGATTCCGCCTCTCGTTGTCCCTGCTCTCGCCTCTAGTACCTGTTTTCTCATTGTTTCTGGAACACTGCCCCCTGTGTCTTTATAAATGCCAACTTTGGTCTTTTTTTTGAAATGACATTCAGACAGCTTTGTTGAAACTTTACCTACAGAGCGATTGCATGGCACATCATATAAATAACGTCAAAAATCGTAGAAACAGAATGGCACAGCTGTGCCTATACTCCCAGAGAAGCCGTTGAGTTTTGGTGACATTTAAAACCTGAACAGTGACTAATGAGGCATCTGGGGTATACACTCTGAATCATACAGAGCCATTCATTGTTTCTGTACCAGGTAAAGCTGAAGCAGTGGGAACTGTTTTGTGTGGTGCATGTTTGGGTTCCACACATGAGCCCAAATATGGTCATAGAAAGAATTTGTTCGGCGAGGCCACCTGCCGAGTTCTGAAATCTTTTCTTCCTTCCTCTTTTTCTCCTCCCTCCCCACCTTTTTTCCTTATAGTTCAGTTTTCTCATCTTAAAAATGGGTACAATAATAGTATATTCCTTATAGGGTTGTTACAAGATTAAACAAGTTGATATATTTTAAGCTCTTTGACATATTTTAAGGCCTGGCTCAAAGTAAAAGTTTTTTTTTTAATTTTTATTTTATTGATTATGCCATTACATTTGCTCTATTCCCCTCCACCCTGCACCCCTCCACCATTCCCCCCCTTTAGTTTATGACCATGTGTTTTTTAAGTATCTAATTATTGTTGACGCCAACTCTCTGTCAGGATCTATTCCAGGAGCTATGGACACAAACATGAAACCCACCAGCCTTGCTCTTATCCATGTAGATACTTATCTTTGCAGGACGTGCTGTTCCGAGGCTTGGACTCCTGCATCAGTGGTCTGGGTTGGAGAGCCAGCTCCGTCCCATTACTTATTAACTATTACATGACAAGGAACTTAATCTCTCAATCTTAGTTTCCTCCCATGAGGAGGACAATAATTTGTCTCATTTGTTATAAGGAATAAAGGATATAAGATGAGTGAAAAACTTAGAATCAGAGTAAGCAATCAATACTGAGTTCCTTAATGTTCAGGTACTTCTGATTGCAGGTCCTCGACAGGACTTCCCATTAGGGCCTTCATGCTTACGGACGGGCAGGGCAGCGTGTGGCACTCACTGAGTAGCTCTGGATCTGGAAGTTTCTCACCCGGATCTTTCTTTCCTAAGGTGTTTGTTCTAGGTGGTCCAGAGGGACCACACAGAGGGGACAGAGGCTCTGCCACCAGACTGCCTGGTTAACCTCTCAAATTGTTTTCCCATCTGTGACCTCAGTATAATGATGACAATCACTAACTCACAGTTATGGCAAGAGTCAACTAAGATAATCGAGCCAAGGAGCTCAGTGCGGCAAACAAGCCTCACATGTAGGAAGAGTTCTCTTTTGTTGGCAGTTACTCTCACTGTTGTAATTTTTTTATTAGGGTTTGATTCTTTGCAGGAAAAAAGCTTGTCTGCCACTGTCCTTATTTATTTCTAGTGTGACTCTAGCCTAAGCAACACAGGATGCCGCCGATAATTACCATTTATTAAGCACCAGGCACTTTCCCTGTATGATCTAATTTTATTCCAAATGGTAACCCTGTGAAGCAGGTATTAGTTTCCCCTTTAGCCGTGAAAAAAAAAAAAAAACTAGCCTCAGATTAAATAACTTGCCCAAGATCATAGATGTAGGATTAAAACCAAACTAATATGACTTTAAGTTACTGGGCCCCCAAAACGAGAGTGAATTTTTTAAAAAATTAGGAAGAACCAAAGAAGCTCCCAACAATGATCTCAACTAAAAGGAAAACTCCACAAATCCTTCTAGGACCACACAGAAATAATACTATAAAAATGCAAATATTAAACCACAGCCTAAGCTTATTTTCCCCAATGTCCTTGCCACATCCCAGCGTACACATCAAATGCTAATATTTTAAAACCTAATAGTCAACGTAGTTCAAACAGTTTTGACCTCATTTAAATTGTCAGATAGAAGAAGATTCTAATGCACAGACAAGAGAGCAATCAAAACTTGCATATAGAGAGTTTGGGAAACATCTGAATACAAATCACTTCCAAACACAGGCTTCTCTTATCGCTGATTGTCGAAGAAGCAGAACCTTAGACCTCCCTGGTGCTGCAGTAATAAAGAAGGAAAGCGTTCACGCTCTCAATGATTAAAGCATTTAACACACAGAGTCAGCACTGGAGAGAAAGTCTGGTCTTCATTATACCAAATGTTATGCAATGCAATGAATATAACCTCCCGTAGATTTTACTAAACATTCAAGCTCTTCAATTTACATTATTTTATTCAATAATTAATTCAAATTTATTTGAATTCACCTTGCATTTACTAAAGGAGAAAAAAATACCCCACAATCCTCATAATAAATGAAAAGGCATAGTTAACAAGATAATTTAATGGATCTTAATAATATCAAGGTGGAGTGAAGGTGAAGATCAATTCACCCTGAAGTCACAACACTTAGTGGCCAAATATTTTATGGAGAGCAATTGTATTCATAATTAGAAGATAATAAGATTGTTGTTTGCATATGCCTTTCAGCTTAAGTTATGGTCATGTAATATCTCACAATTTTTTGGTTCATACTCAAAACATTTTATAGAATGTAAAGTAGCCCATAAACTATAGCATTTGTCATGATGCTTTCATACAGGCATCCAAAGAAAGTGGTTGACTGGCTGAAGGGGGTTGGAAACTTTTATTTTATTTTTATTTATTTATTTTAAAATATTTTATTTATTTATTTTTTCGAGAGAGGGGAAGGGAAGGAGAAAGAGTGGGAGAGAAATATCAATGTATGGTTGCCTCTCATGCGCTCCTTGCTGGGAACTGGCCTGCAACCCAGGCATGTGCCCTGACTGGGAATCGAACCGCGATACTCTGATTCGCAGGCCCGCACTCAATCCACTGAGCTATGCCAGCCAGGGCAGAAACTTTTATTTTTAATCACATTACACACCTCCGATTTTGTGGGTATCTTGGCGTCTATTTAACATTTACAGTTTCATTATTCTCAAGTGGGACTGGTGGCAAAGGTATGCAGCATTGGAACCTTTTGCTTGCTGAAAATCATGTTTAAAAGTGGTTTCTTTTTAGTAACAAATAAAGCATCACTATTTTAGCAAAGACAGCAAAAGGAAGGGTTTTTGCGGCTCTATTAATTAGAGAACAAGCAATATGTTCACCAGAACAAGCAGTATGTCCACCAGTGTTTTTATGTTTGTGTGTATCTAAAATAAGAAAAAAAAACTGGATCTTGCCAAACTTATACCCCCCCTTTTTTCTGTTTTTGCATTATATTTTTTCCTTATCAAAAGTTAAGGGCTGTGTTTGGGTTAAAGTAAGTTTTCAAAAAACATTTGCTGAGTAAGTCAATATGTTGTTAATATTTTTTCCTGGCACTACACGTTATTCTACAGCATCTTTTTAATGACTGCACAGTACTCTGTCCCATGGATGTACTGTAATTAATTTAGCCAAATGCCTCTGATGTTACTGATATTTCATTGTTGTAGCAAAATAATTTAGAAATTCATTGACTTCTTTGAAATTGTTGTTGCAAAGAGTATACAAAAAAGATGAGAATTTTGATACCTATTGTCAAAAAAGCCACCATATATTTTAAATATTTACTGTGGCATGTGTGATATAAATAAGGGTAACCATTCCCACAATTTTGTGATTTGCTGGTTTTAGAGGACAAAAAAAGGGGGGGTGTACTGTATTTTGCCGTGTATAATGCACACTTTTTTTTTTGCCCAAATTTTTGAGGGAAAAATAAGGATACCCATTATACATGGGTAGTACTAATTCCATATTTACATAAATGTTTTTAATTCTTTTATTTATGCTTATATGTTAAAAGTGTACCTCTAGAAAGCAATAATGATATCCATATGCAAAATAATACCCTGGAATATAATTGGTTTTGTTTCTAACTGTAAATAAATTAAAAAATTGAACTAGAAATTTTAAATGGAAGTTTTTTTTCCTGAAAGTGTGGGTCAAAAATGTGGGTGTGCATTATACACGGCAAAAGTATGGTAGTGAGTGAGTAAGCCTAATTTGTCGCCTAGCATCTATTTCTTTATTTTTCTCAAGTACACACTCGATAAAATGAATTAAATTGCCAATACTTGGAAATTGTGAAGGCTATTAGCATGAGCCCTTTTTGAATGTCAGTATTAAACTGTACCTAGTGTCATTTAAAGACCACTTATTTGTCAGTGAAAACCCAACTCCTTTGTCAGTTAAGGTGAATGAAATTCGAGCAGATGAAGGTATTGCATTCGATAGTGCAGATCAGTAACTCATCCTTAATCTCATTTCGGAAAGTAAATATAGCTGGAGCAATAATCTATGTCCCAGAGGTGTCAGGTTAGAAAGGATTTAACACTTCACAATGAACTACAAATAAACAGAATCATTTCAAGGAGCTACTGCACATTTATTTGTGTCAAAGAAGGAATTTGGAAATAAAATAGCCTATCAACCACAACTATGGTGACAGTAACATTTCAAAATTCTTCCTTAACACAGAAAGAGAAAACAGGTGAAGACATGGAAATGAAGGGATTTTCCAATTTTCCTTTGACACTGAAAGGATGTAATTCATCATCTTGAACAGAACCCCTTAAATGTGTGAAATAAGAGTGCTCCTTGCATAGCCTGAGCATTGCAAAAAGTCCAGAAACTCCTTAAAAGTAATTCACTCCAGCTGTCAAGTTGGATATAAAGTGGTACTAAACAACTTAATTTTAAGAAGCAAAAAGAAGATAAAGCCACAAAAATTTAATAAAAAGTCTTATGACAGTGTATTTAAACAGCAGCTAAAAAAAAAAACTCTGATGGAGCTGAGAAGGCCAACTATGATATATATGCAGAAACATCAAGAACAGAGTCTGAGAATAGAGGTCATGTCTGCAAACTCCTGAGACTGATATCTAATTATAAGATGGTACCTAAGAGGAAGGGGAGAGATGGTTTTTCAAAATGCCTGATGAAGCAACTCACTATAAATTTTTGATACATGGATGGGAACACTGTGATGGTTAATTTCATCTTATGTCAACTTAACGGCGTTAAGGCATGCCCAAACAGCTGGTGAACATTATTTCTGGGTGTTTATGGGGGGGTGCTCCCTGAATCAGTAGGCTGAGTGAAGAATACCACCCTGCCCAATGCTGGGGGCATCATTCAACCTGCTGAGGGCAAATGTACTCATTCTGCTTGAGCTAAGACATCCACCTTCTGCTGCCTCAGACATCAGTATTCCAGGGTCTCAGGCTTCCAGACTCAGACCCCCAACCCCAATTCTCCATCCTTCAGACTGGGACTGAATCACACAGCCATCTTTCTTGGTTCTCCAGCTGGAATAGGGCAGGTTGTGGGACTTCTCAGTCTCCAAAATAGTGTGAGTGAATTCCTGTAACAGATACACTGACATATATCTCTATATATCCTATTGTTTTTATTTCTCTGGATAACCCTAACTAATACAAGCAAAAAAAAAAAAAAAAAACTTTCCCTTTATGGTGTTTCTTCCAAAAACCAGAGAAGGAGAGAGAATAGCATTACTTTTTAAAGTCTATCAGTTTTCTGATATTGCCTAAGCTGTCTACATGCTAATTTACTGTTTGTGTGTTTTAACTCAGCTGTTACCAAACAGGTCTGCAGATCTGATGCTGTGGAGCAGACTCTTTGTACATGGTGGTAATCAGGATTTAAGATGGAATATGGCTTCTCTTGCAAGTTGGTGTAACAAACCAGAGTTTTGCTAGAGTCCTTTTTCTCTGCCCACCTCCCCCTTGTTCTGATTTCTCCAAATTGCTTTGGAGATTTGGTATATTAGCACATTTTTTCTGCTGTGTGTCTGTGAGGAAATTCCAAAAGTTGAGTTTTCCTGAGGGAATTTGAAAAGAGATTCTACTTTGTACAACATTAAGGGCAGTTTGAAGGTCTGCTAATTCTGGCTTTTATTTAGTTATTTATTTGCTCAATCAGCACATATTTAGTGAGTTCTGTGTGCTACATTATACTCATACACCTGACATCTATGAAGCTCCCATTTTAGTTGAAAAGCTACAACCAATGAATGCATGCAAGACTAAATCAACTAGCAAAATATTTATAGCTTGTGGTAAGTGATATGAAAGACCAGAACAATGGGCTGAGGTTGAGATAAGAAGGGAATATCTGCTTTTTATAAGATGATCAAAGAATTCTTCTTCAAGGAAGTGAAATATAAGTTGAGGGCTGAAAGATAAGCAGGACCTCGTGGTCCAAGAAGTGGATGGAGGAAAAAGACTCTGCACAAAGGCCATGAGCTTGCTATTTGCAGACCTTGAAGAAAACCTGTGTGGATGAGCTAAAGGGCAAGTAAGAGAAAGGCCTTCAGTGAAGCTGGTGAGGTATTTAAAGCCAAAACCTAATGGATCTTCAAGCCATAGAAAAAAAAAAGTTCAGATTTTATCCTAAGAATAATCCCTCAACAGATCTAATATCAGAAATATGACATAATCCTGACAAAACCTTATTTGGGTTTTAAGAACCTGACTGGCCACTAAGTATGGAATATCGTGAAAACGAGGAAGAGTAGAGGCACAAATACTTTTAAGAGTTGCAGACGTTGTGGCTGGAGGATGACAGTGGCGTTAGCAAAGGAAAAGGGAGAGCAGCAGATTTCATCTGAGCTATAATTTGACAACGGCATCTCATTCTTGACAGGTAATAAACTGGATGCAGGGGCGGAGAGAAAAGGCAGGATGAAGAACTAAGACTTCGGCTTGTGCATCAGGATAAATGGGCATGCCGTTTTACTGCAGTGTAGGTGACTTCAGGGGCAGAGTGCACTCTGGGTTGGATGAGAACAAGGGTTCCTCAAACTGCTCTGGAGATGAGTCCCTTGGGATACTTGTTAGAAACACCTGGGTCCCATCCTAGGCCTGCTGAAGTGAATACTCTCAGAGACAAGCTGAGAAGGCTTTTGTCTTGACACACACTGTGGGTGATTTTCTATCATGAGGAAGGTGGGAAAACATCCTACTAGGAGAAAGGAACCTTCATGCAAGATGGTTCCGTGTGATAGTGCAGGTTCAGAGGACGGGTTAAGTAAGACGGTGAAAGACCCTTGGGCTTCCTTTGCTGAAGCCAGTGACCCTAATCTAAGTACCCAGCATCATATCTGGCATAGAAGAGTCAATCACAGCTTCAACCCAAGGACTACATGTGAACAGAACTTCAACTCATTGCATGAATTGAACTCATTGTTTTGGTTAAGATCGCATTCACTGCTGTAACATCAATTCTGAAACAATACAGGTTTTAGGCAGGTTCCTTCTGCCTCCTGCCTCTGCCATCCTGCAGGGCAGAGGACCCTAAACTTTCTTAGTTCATGTACCTTCATTGAACCAGTAATTTTTCACAGTGCTCCTAAACCAAAAGAAACATAACAGTTCTGTTCAGTAGTTAGCCTCAACAATTCAGTAGATATTTATGTACCAGCAATCTCGTAGCTGTTTCAAAAAATTGTGCACGTGAATTGAAAGAAAAAAATATTCTTAGTACCACATTATGTACCCATTGAAATACGTGTGCTCATTGGGCATTACCCAGGTTAAGTCCCAAGATCAGATTGGACACCACCCACCTTCATTCCCTGATCCATGTGGATTTAACACAGCACTTTCATTTTCTTACA